TTGGATTAGTCTTTAATGTGATCTCGTATTCATCCAAATTGTCTATATCATTAAGGCTTCTGAAAAACTGAGCATATGGGTTTTCCCTCAGAACGGCTAAAATTTTTTCAATTATAGATTCTGTTAACCTAGGGCAGACTTTCAATCGATTCGCTATTTCATTTTCAGTGTCATGGAAATATAACTGTAAATTTTGAGACGATTCTAAATCATCCAAGAAGTGATACATTTGGCCTTGTATTTTGAAGGTGTAAATCCCTTTATTACGTTTGGTTAAATTTTTATCACATTTGACTCCCAAAGAAGTAAATGCAAATTGGTTGTTGACGGTCCTAATACAATCTCGAAAGAGTTTAGATTCCTCATTTGCGGAGAAAAGTAAATCTTTTAAAACTTTTGGCAAGGAGTTATTTGCTAATTTAATTTTTCCGCTTAAACAGCAGAATGCAGTTGTTTCATATGGGAATTTCATGGCACCACAATAAAAACATTTTCTGGTTTTTCGAAAAATAAAAGCCTCACCTGGTATGTTATCCCAAATATTATGGTAAACAGCGTGCGAGATACCTATTATAGATGTAAATTTTATTAGGTGAATTTGTTAGTGCAAGCTGAAATAATTTATTTGAAGAAATTAAGAGGTAAAAGGATAATAAAAAGGAATCCATGTTGAGGAATAAAAGTACACTTAAATGGTTACCTGTGCTCTGGGAAGTGGACGCTACATTTTCTGTGAATTTTCTCAAACTGACCGTACTTTGTGTATATAAAGATGAGCTGGAGGAATGATCCAATTCATTTAAATTAACTGGAGTTTTTGAATTTTGTAAACTTAGAACACAACCGGCGGTTGGTGGATTATTAATAGTGCTGTTACTGCGTAAGGGTTGACTTAGATGCGAAACAGTAGTCTCTATACCTGCGACCCTTTTTTTTTTTTTGGCTTGCCATTTTTCANTTTTTTTTTTTTTTGGCTTGCCATTTTTCAATAGCATCCTGTCTATATGTTTTGTTAGAAAGTTGTAGAGCACAACCAGAGTCCTGCAAAACTGTAGTTTTTGTTGAATCGGCTATTTTAAAATTTAACGTTTTCTCTACATCACATAGGTAAGTTTCTTGCCGATTCGTTCTGTTTTCATCATGGTTTTTGTTTGCTTGATAAGAGATGAAATTTGTAGAAGTAGTTATTGAATTTTTGTGGAACTCACTTGTATAACCGTCTTCGACAGGCAGGTTTTTCATTGTTAATTTTTCATTGTTAATATTCTTCGTTTTTTTTTTTTGTTCTTCCATTTTTCAATGGCATATTGACGATACCTTTTCTTAGAGGCCGGGACTTCGTTAATGTAATAAAAATTTCCTGACAATTGCTTATTTCTATTTGACATTTCCTGGTAAATTTTTTGTAGACTTAAAATACAATTAACGCCACTTTATCAATTAAAGTTAATCAACAGAGCAAATCACCTGGATAAGTCTGTAATGTATTATACACCGAACTTATGATAGCACCCCTTTTTTTTGGGGGGGAAGGGGTGGGGGTTGGTTTATTTGTAATACTTTACTTACACACCTATGTGAATATTTTTGTTTATTCTAATTTACCTTCACCATGCAATTCACCATGCAATCAGTACATTTCGCAATGACATAAAACACAGAAATCACACAGTTCACAGAAAACACATAGTTAAGTAACCGCGAATAAGTAGCATAATAATAAATATGAGAAATAAACAGTGAAAACACAAATATTTTATTTTATATACTAAAAAGGCACCAGGTAATATAATCCTAGAGGCAAAATGATTTACTATATTCCCAAAAGGTAAGCAACAATTAAGAGGGCAATGGTAGCGATATAGCAAAATAAATTAATAAAGGAATAAAATAACAGTTAACACGCAATTCGTATGAAAGGAAGCTAACCTGATAGCGATAAACAAACACCTTGTTATCCTTCCTGGTATACAGAATTTTAAACACTTCAGATAGCAGTTCCACTCAACAGCACAGTCACCTACATGTTTATTAATAAATAAACGATAAGTTAAGAAAATGACCCTATAAATAAATGTGCAACATCCCAAAAATTTC